GTATACGCGTTACTGTACAGTTGTTTGATAGTGCTGTATTGGAATAACGACGGTTCCCTGAGCTTCATTATCTCGACTACTCTAAGTGGCACAATGTTCCCTAGAGTTCGAAGAAGCACCTCTTACCTTCAAAAACGCTCCCGTCCCGTCTACCCCTCTACTACACTTCATTTACGCTAGACTCCCACTATGCCAATTGGGGCGCGCTGCTTTTCTCATTGAGGGACTGGCTTGAGCGAAGATGTTTTTTTGGGAGGATTCCTATTTTTTTCTGTTTTTCACTCTACGACCTACTACTTTACTTTACTGGTTGAATCAGTGACTACTGATAACCCCAATAACAAAAGTCCATTCAGGATTATACACCTTCTTGAAGAAACATCACCATGCCCTCCTCCATCAGGAGGAATCGGAGCACTGCTTAGTTCCACAATGATGGGTCGAAATATGGAAACTCGAGTTGATCAAAGTCTTTACGACTCGATCAAAAGTACGACCCTCAGTTTCTATATTGCTGATGAGTTTTCCTCGAAAGATTGCCATTAAGGTCGAAAAACGGAAGAGCTGCAAAAAGACTGCGAGAACTTGTACGTACAACTCTATAAGTTGATACGGAAGTATCAAGGCCTAAGGAAGATTATCAAGGTAAGAGCTACGTAATTGTACAAGCAGTATAAGCTAAGCGCTTAAAGGCATGAACGATTGTGGGTGTTCGGTGTGTAGCGTTACCTCCAAGTCGCGACATCGTGCGCTTAACTGAGTATTTCCTAGCGAGTGTGGGGCGTTACGTCATAGTCGCGGCGAGTGCGGCGAAATGGGTGTTGCAAGGTGGGTACACAGCATACAGAAACGATCGAACTTACTCAGCATGGCGGCTGTACTGCTCGTCGATCGTCTCTCCCAAGTCGACTCGCACTGCAATGCCGCGAATGGGAAGCACGAAGGAAGCAGGTGTGCCACTACAATATTCCTCAGCTGTGGCATCGTGCGCGTGGTGCTAGCCAAAACACTTCCTAGCCAGTTAGTGGATAGACGTAGCAAAGAAGGAGCTCGAAGTATTGAGAGGCGCAGACGCAGTGAAAGTCGAGGGAGTCGGCAGCCAGCACTGCTACGGTTGAGCCGCTAGAATCACGCCGCTTGTCATAGCTGTTTCGCCGGCGTGGCAGTAGACGCTCCACGCCGGCAAAAACTGACGCCTCCGCCCTCACTTAAGTACTTGACAATCCAAACACAAGACTGCAAAAAAGAGTTCGGAAGAAGGAAGCACGCAGAAAGGATCGAGAAAGTCGGACACGCGGGGTGTACTTCGTTCCAGTGGATTGTAGTCCTTTGGTTCGATGCTGCTTTCGATCACCCCAATGTGCAGCTCGTAACTTAGCACTTCTTGCTACGTGCTGCGTAAGTAACGCTCCATACCGTGGGTGTTCAAAGCCTAGTGTATTTTGTTCCGATGCACGCACCCACATGTACATGCCGACAGTCAAACGCGGGATTAATGGTAAAGGATACTCTGACAGCCAATAAATAGTGTGATTATCATTGGAAAGTTTTCGAATTGTTCTGCTGTATAAAAGGATCTGGGTGTTCAGTGGGCAAGCTGCATTTTTTTTGAAGTGGCACATTTAAGGCAATGCCCGGGACCAGATATTAGGGGTAGCGAAGCTCATACAGCATTGCCAGTATGTTGAAGAAAAAAGTAAGAAATTGCATGGAAATGTTCCGAATAAAATCCCGTATCAAGCGCTGTTGCACGAGCAGTGGGCGATCAAAGGGTGTGATCGGACGAGATCACCTGGCGAATGATGTGGTGGGCGATATGGTCACCGCAACTATGGACCACAGATAATTCCGTGTCCGCTAATGTCCCTGCCTTTGTCCTTTGGCAGGTCTTCTGATACTCTGATCGAGTAGGGTGGGATGAAAGTAGGTAGGGCCGATGAAAGGACGACAGTATCTCCGCCCTCCTCGCTTACTTTTACGCAGCGAAAATGGTGCAGTCGCTACCTTTGTGGAATTCTACCTGCTCTCGAAGGGAGAGGAAAATTCCAAATGATCACGAGCGCTGCCTTTAAAGTGGCTCGTCACTTTCCGGACAACCTAGTTGATGACTACTCCATACAATAAGTGGTCTACACGTCTCCACCACTTCAAATTTTGATGAAAATGCAGCCAAAACGCAGAAAAAAAAACTGAGTCCTCAGTCATTCATAATATGCTCCATCAATAGTGGAACCCTTTCCTCTTCCTGAATTTCTCGCCAGCTTTGGGAGCTTACAGTATCACCACATTGCTGCAAATACAGTATGCAATACTACAAATAGTATTGGCGACATAATTTCGGCTTGGGAGCGTGGGAATCGAGAGTTTCTGATGGTATGCATTTCTCTATGGCGGAGGTCGTAGTGACTAGTGGCACGCTTACCACTCGGCGGTCCTGGCTTTGGATCCCGGGTCGGCTCCTGCCCAGGCCAACCAAGCCTACACCTCGGAGACGGTGGACTGGTACCAGATTCGACTGAGAGTATAAGAAAACTGACTTCAACATCGGGTGACCCTCGCAACCCGTTGTATAGGCCACATCGAATTCAATACCACTACGATTCTGCTTGAAAGTAGAGTGCGTGTCGCATCACACGAAGGGATCGATTGACGGCGCATACTTTACCATTTATGCATTTTTTAGTTCTTTCAAACACTACACTTGTAGTAGAACTTTAGATTTCCCTTTAAAAGCTCGCAAAATCCATCAACTCACACAGCGAACTACCAAGAACTGCGTGCAAGAATATTTTGATCCTGGCACATTCCGACTTCTTTTTTTCAGGATCTCCACGACAAGTACGACTCATCTCGACTTTATCCGATTGTTCCTCGGTATCCTATCCTGAAGAAGATGATCAAGTCCGTGCTAAGAGCTCCAGAATTCGCTGATATTTGCCATGAACAAACAGAATAATATTTGTCTCTGTATTCAATGAAAAACCTGAGTCACATTGCATTGCCTTCAAGAAGGCCGCTTGAAGTCGCAACAAGGATTGTTATATGACTTGAAAGGGAAGAACTTAGACAAAAAAAGAGGATTTAATTG